TTCCTTCCTTCCTTCCTTCCTTCCTTCCTTCCTAGGAGGCCAAAATGCCTCTTGAAGCTTAGCTGCCGCAAGGAACGGCGTCCATCTACCGCCATTGGGCACTTCCTGGCGCCTCGGGCCCCCCAGCACTGCACTGGGGCCCCCGAGGCCTTCAATGGCATCAAGTGGGGCGCTCAGTTCCCCATCCCAGGCCTGCAGCCGGGTGGGATGCTTGCGGTGAGGAACGCCCACTGCCCCTGCCGAGCGCCGAGGACGCGCTCGAGGAGGAGCGCAGGGCCGGGAGCCACTGGCCTGGAGGAGTGGGCCTCTGCCCTGGGCCCCCAGCAGACGCACCTTTCCCCGCGTGTGTAAAGGGGCCGCAGGGATTCCAGCTTTTGGAAGAGAAGTGCATGCAAGAGGCAAGTCGGCCGAATCCTGCTCCAGAGACGCCCGCGGCTCTGTTCAGACACAGGGCTGGCCAGTCCCACGGAAGGCCCTTCCTCTGGCACGTCCCTCCTCTGGTCTGGGCTGGTGTGCCCCTTGCTCTCCCCAGCAACACGGCTCTGCGCTGGGGGGGGAGCAGGGCTGTGCAGCCCCCCTCGGCACAAGTGAGGGGAGTGCGAGATCAGGCTGGCTGCAGGCCAGTGAGTGACTCACTCGGCTGGCTCAGGCAGCCCCGACGACAGCCCCCGGGGCTCCCGCTGCCTTCCTGCTTCGGGGCAGCTGCACCGCTCGCTCTTCCGGTGCCAGATCCTATCAGGCGCCGGAGGAATTTTAAGCAAAAACCTTAAGAAGCAGAACAGCAAAGCCCCAGGTGGAAAGTGGGGGAGAGGCCGGGGCCTTCCAGCAGGGCAGAGCTTCCCCGCCGTTCAGGGGCTGCCCAAGGGAGCGCGCCAGGCCGTTCCTGCACTGCTGCTAGGTCTGCGCTTCTTCCGCACTGTAGTGCTGAATGGTTAAATTTGGATCTCTCGTGTTCTATGTTAGGCTTTTACTGGCTGTGAGCTGCGCAGAGGAGTTGTGCTGTTGGACAAGACAGGCATGCAACATAAATTAAAACAACCGTCCCAGAGGCAGGGAAGGGAACCTGACAGACGACTGACGGGCAGTGGAGGAAAAAAATGTGGACAGCCGTTCCACTGGGGCCTGCGTTTCTTTGTGTGTCCTAAAAGCTCCCAGTGGAAACACCGGCTGTCTTCCAGAAGCAATACAGGACTCTGCCTTGGCAGTTGTCAAGTACCTGGGGACACACATGGAGCTATTTTAAGCTCCCAGTTTTCTTTCATTCATTCATTCATTCATTCAAAATATGCAGAGACTATGGAGATTTTTGGTTAAAAACAACCAAGAAAAACCAGGCAAGCCTGCAGCCAGCCCAGCTCTGAGCCAGGAGTCCAATCCAGGGATCCAGCTCCCGTGCTTCCACATCCATCATCTGTCTGCCCCCCGCCATGCCCAGGTCTGCTTCCAGGGGCACCTCCACAAGGGAAAGAGAGGAGACAAACGCCCCGAAAAGCATGGCTGCAGCCTCTGCCAAGGGGTTGTTCCCTCACCAGAGGTGGTGGCCTTCTGCACTGACCATCCATGTCACATGCTCTGCTGGACGTCGCGGCGTGTGCGCCTTCCCTCTCGGGTCAACGTCAGTGCGGCAGGCCGGACTGCGTTTTCAGCTCTGCACGGCTGATGCTGGTCTGCCACCTGAGCACGCACGCCAGCACCGGCAAAACCACCGCCCTGCACAGCTCCGGCAGGACACATCCTCACGGGAAGAGCGCGGCCAGGGCGTGAGCCCAGTGCAGGCCGTGGGCGGGGGGCAGAAAGGGCAGGCCTGTGCAGCCGAGCCGGCCCACGGCCACGCGAGGGATACCTGCAGCGTGGGGAGGTCGATGAATATGTGACGGTCAAGCCTCCCCGGCCTCATGAGAGCGTTGTCCAAGATGTCGGCCCGGTTGGTGGACGCCAACACTATGACATGGTCGGTGGTTCCCATGCCTGTGGAGCGGAGAAAGGCATGGAGACCGCGGCAGGGCGGGGGGCCCGGAAGGCGCCCACCCCCTGGGTGGGTGTAGGGGCGGGAAGACACTCGTGACGGGCTGCGTGGGTCACGAGGGCAGGGGGGCTGCAGCCTGGCCCCCAGCGCCACCCCACACGTCTCAGCGCCGGCCTTCCCTCCAACAGCCGGTTCCTTCGGGGGGGGGCGGGCCGTCGGCAAGAGGCGCGAGGCAGGTGTGCGTGGCCTGCGGGGGGCAGTCGGGGGGATGCATGCCGGGGAGTGCCCGGGGCCAGCAAGCAGGCCTGGCCCCATGCCTGCAGCGCCCGCCCTGGCTCCAGGGGCCGCAAGAGCCACCGCGCACAAGGAGCCAAAGCACGCATCTCTTGCCCTCGGCCAGGCCTCAAAGCAGGCCAAGTGCTCCTTCTCCCCCAGGGGTGGGGGGACGACTTTGGCTGAAGCACAAAGGGCAGAGAGCTCGCTGGGCCCCTTCTGCTCTTCTGCGGCAGACTCTCTCAGCCCTGAAGTTGCCCGCCTGGGAGAGCAAGGGGCAGCTCCTGCTTTCAGTGACGGAGAGGCTCCCAAGCGACCCACCATTCTGCCAGGGCACCTCCTCTTCCTGGGAGGCACAAGGTCAGCCCAGGGGAAAGGGCCGAGGAACGCCTCCCGCCCCGCCGGCAAGGACGGGCCATGGGCCGGAGCCACCGGCGTGGGCGGGCATCGCTCTCTCCCGTGGGAGGTGCCGTGGCTATGCGAGGGGAGGGCTTTCCTTGAGGGAGAGTTCTTCTGCTCTCCCCAGGTCATCCAGGAAAGCAGCGGAAGAGCAAGGCCAAGCCGGTCAGAGGAGAGGCTCACCGTCCATTTCCACCAGCAGCTGGTTTAAGGTGTGCTCTTCCTCCATGTTGGAGAAGCCAGACATGTTGGTGGAGCGCTTCTTCCCCACGGCATCTATTTCATCGATGTAGACAATGCAGGGGGCCCGGACCCGGGCTTCCTTGAAGAGGCTCCTCACACGAGCGGCCCCGAGGCCTGCGGAGAGACACCGGGCAGGTGGGCCCCATCAAGCAGAGGCTCCACGGCCACTGGAAGGGGCACCACGCCTCCACCCCAAGGAGCAGAGAGGAAGGTACCACCGGTCGCCTCTCTGCCCTCAAGAGCTTTGGTCAGGGTCTGCCCCCTTCAAGGCACCCCAGATGCCTGCTGGGCCTCTCTGCCTAGGCCAGGGGCCTGTGCCAGGCCTGCCTTCTGCCAGTGCCACAGGGGCCCGGGGGACGGCACTCTGTTGGTTCACGGCAGAGCAGGGAATGAGCCCTGAGGCCAGGCTGCTTCCACGGGGCTCGAGGGCCTTCTCTGGAGACCTTGCTCCCGTTTCAAAACTGGAGCCCCGCAGGAGAGGCCCAAGGCTGGGCCTGAGGCACCAGACTTGCCTGGGAGAGGAGATGAAGAGCGGCAGAGCTGCCGGCTCCCTGTGAAGGAGCAGCCACGCCACGTGCAGGCAAGTGGCCCCGCTGCCTCCTCGGCCTGCCTGCTCACCGCGATCCGAAGGGCAGGCCTCCCCCCTCTCGGGGTGCATCCAGCCGCAGGCAGGCCAGGTGTTTCGGCACCTCTTGAGGACGCGCCTGTATGCCCAGGCTTTGGGCGGTTTGAGTGCCTGCCCTGGGGGACTGTCCTTGTGGTTTCAGCTCTGCACTTATTCCAACCGTGCGAATGCACTTTTATACTGCCCTGGCCTTGGGTGACAAAGTGTTCGGTATTCCAGTGAAGCGAAAGCGAGCGGGCACACACCGTCTCCCGGGGCCCAGCCTCCTTCCTCACGGCTCACCTCCAATCACCTCCACAAACTCGGAGCCGGCGATGGCCAGGAATGGCACCTGTGCCTCGGTAGCCACCGCTTTGGCCAGCAGGGTCTTGCCGCAGCCCGGCGGCCCGAGCAGGAGGGCGCCTTTGGGCACTTTGGCACCAAGCTGCAGGTAGTGCTCTGGGCTCTGGAAGCAAAACACGGGCGTTGAAAGCGGCACACCTGCTCTGCATCCTCACCTGCCGGGGAGCGAGCCGCCACTTCAAGCCAGTGCTCGTTCCCACAAGGTGGCAGGTGGCGGAAAGGCCTCTCCTCTTGCCCTAAGATAGTGGGGAGCTACGTGTCTCTGGATGAGTCCTTGCCTGGCTCTTGAAAGCCGAAACAAGAGGCTCCGGAGCACTCCCAGGCAAGGAGAAAGACCGTACGGCTGGGATGCTGCTGCGGCTTCGCTGGATCCGCCTGCCCCCCGCTTCCCAGCAGTTGCCTCCGTGCTCACCTTCAGGTAATCCACAAACTCCCTGACCTCCGTTTTGGCCTCATGCATTCCGGCGACATCCTTGAAGCTGATCCCTTTCCCAGATTTGCCGTCCACTATGGTGAAACGGGCCATTTTCAGCTGGTTCTGCCAAGGGGCGGAAAAAGAAAGCAAGCTGCGGCAGCCCGGCAACAAAGGGGAGCCGCAAAGCCCTGGCGCCCCTCTGCTTGGGGGGCAGTCCAGCCCCAAGGCCACGCAGTGCCACCCCGGCTGCCCGGGCGCCGTCCGCCGTGGGACGGAGCTTTTCCTCACTCTGCGCCACCTCCTGTGCCAGGGAATGAAGCTGGCAACCCGCTGCCTCGGCCCACGTCCGGCCCGTTGGGGGAGGCCAAAAGGAACCTCTTGTCCAGCCAAACAGCCTCTCGCCTCCCTATGATCACGGGGCCTTTGGGCCAAAGACCCCCCACCAGAGGAGTGCTCGTTGCAAGCGGGACGCGCGGCCCCCGGGCTCTCAGACGCTGCCCTGGTGAGGGGCACTTTGGCAGGCGGGGCCGGAGGAGAACAGAACGGGGCCTTCCAGCCTCCAGTGAGCCACAGCGAGACCCAAACACCACGTTAGCTAAGCGGCCTCTGCATAACTGCTCATTATCCACTGCTGAAAACAGCTACTCGATGCCGGCGCTTCAGCTGCGCCTGCCGTGGTCCGCATGCTTGGAAGCCTCTCAGGAGACGCCGTGGAGGCCTGTGAGTGGGCGGGCAGCGCACTGCAGAAAGGACGGGGCGAGCAAGCGCCAGGAGCGTCTGCCCCGAAGCCAGGCGAGCAGGGGAGACGGCCGGGCGGCCTGGGCACGGGATGCTCCCGGGCTCCGCCAGCGCCCCAGTCCCCCCACGCCGCCCCTCCCCGGAGGCAGCCATTGCCAGCCGCTCGTCAGCTGACCGCTTGGCGGGGGCCTGGCCGATGCGGAGAGGGGACGTGCGCGGGAGGCGCGGAGGGCGGCTTGCGGCCCCGTCCGAGGGCTCCGGCAGCCTTCAAGGCGGAACGGCGATTTGGCCGAAGGCGAGGGTGCGCGTGAGATTTGCTGGCGAGAGACAGGCAGAAGAAAAGCCGTTCCGGCCGCGGGTCGCGCGAAGGTCTTCAAAGGCAGCAGAGACGTGCCCCGCAGATTCTGGAGCTCGGCCGCCGCAGCACGCAGGGGAAGAGGGCCCCCCGCCCCCACCCCCGCCAGCTAGGCCAGGCACCGCACGGCTCCGTCAGCTGAGAGGAAGAGTGGCAAGGCGCCGTGGGGACCACCCAGCCTCTGGGCGGCCGAGCTCTCCTCCGCTGTTGACTTCGTCGGGGAGGGGGGAAGCTGCCCGGCCCACCCGAACAGGGCAGCTGGAGGCGACCCAAGCTACTTACGAAGGCGCTGAACCCGCCACCCTGCCTGCTCGCCGTCCCGGCCAGGCGGAAGAAGTACCACAGGATGCCGATCGGCACGGCAGCCGCCAACAGGGTGGACACGGAGCTGCGGAGAGAGCAGCGGCGTGGCTTGGGCCCCGGCGGATGCCTCAGAGCAGCCGGTGGGCCCGGCGAATGCGGCCCGGCCGGTTCGCGACACCGGAGGACGGCTCCCTGGGCACACGGGGGCAGCCTCTGGCCCAGAAGCCAAACCCAGCTCTCCAGGCCCGCCAGACGGCCTCGTTCTCCCCTCATCCTCCCGCCGTTTGGTGGCTTCCCAGCTCCCGCGCTGCATGTCTGCATTCCGAAAGGAGAAACGCCTCTCCCGAGGGGCAGAGACCGGCTGGAGGTGCTTTAAGCTAGAGGACGCTGGCAGCCGTGGTGCCTGGCCCCGGGAGCCAGTGAGCAGGGCCCAAGGGCTTCTGCGAGATTCCGCACGCCTGTGCGAAAGGAGCAGCTTTGCCGCGTCGTAACACATGCAACTGGCCGAAGCCAAAGAGCACTGGGTGGGGGGAAGGGGAGGCCCAGAATTCCTCTCGGCACAGCCTTTGGGGAGCCCCGCACGGACCCGGCGAAGAGGGAAAACAGCGAGGCTGCTGCGAGGCCAAGCGCCTGCTGGAGAAGCGAGTCCCGTCACCCTCCTCCAGGCCACACGCCAGCTGGCGCTGCTTTTGCGGGAAAGGAGCTGGCGGGGACCGTGCCCGACAGGCAATCCCAAAGCTACCGAGACGATGCCCGAGCCGGGGCAGAGCTCAGGAGGACCACCTGCCCGGGCAGTGCTTGCTCGGAGGGGTCTTCCTTGGGGAGCAACGCCCAGCCCCGGAAGGGGCGCGCTCATGCGCCCCCGGCCGTCCTTATGATCGGGCAACCTCGTCAGGTGGGGGGGCAGGATTCCACCCCGCCGATGCCAGAACTCACCTTCTGCCTATAAAAGTGTTTGTTTCTAATGGAAGAACAAATAAACGGCAACGGCAGAGAGACGACCACAAAAGGAGCCGCCTCTTGCGAGCATCCAGAACGGCACAGACCAAGCTCCAACCAGCTGCCGAGGCTGTTTGAGGAAGGCTTTGCCCCCACTTTTGTCCCACTCTGGCCTTACGGTAGCGCTAAAAGCGTCCTCGTGACAAAGGATCTGAGCGGCTGCATAAGACAGGTCGACCCATTCATGAGATCACTCGCTGCTCAGTGGCATTTTGGGCTTCATTATTCAAGCGTTTCTGCTCAGCGGGGCGATGAGTCAGTGTCCGCTTAACAGGCAAAAGGGTGGCGTTCATGTTTATAAGCCAAAGGTAAATCCAGGTGGGAGGCCCGCTCTGGACTGGCTGCATCCTCTTCACTGGACCTGTGCTGGTCACACACCCAGCAAGCTACCCTGCAGGATCCCCTGGGGAAACTCTCGCGCCGCACTTCCCAGGGCAGCGATGGCAAGCCTGTTAGAGGCCGAGTGCCCAGACTGCAACCCAAAACCCACTTATTGATCGCAAAGGGCCAACATGGCAGCAAAACCTGAAAACTGAGGTTTTGGTTTAGAAAAAACAACGCACAGCCAGTCCAAGCAAATATACTCATATATATACCCCTGGCAGCGCACCGACTGGCCATGCGAAAGCTCAGATGTGTCGTGGCTCATGAGTCGGGGCTCGTGACATCATCGCCTGGCGCCGCTACTCCTTTCCGAGCATGCGCATGGCCCCTATGTGCGCTTTTATCCGATGCTCGGCTGCCCCCTGCACCCGCGTGCCGTGGGTTTGCCATCGCTGGCCTGGGGGAAGCACTCCTCTAAGCCAGCGACAGTCCTCCAAGGCGGGGCTCTGGCTGCACACCCGCAAGCTCTCCCTGGTCTTCCTGCAGAGGCAAGGCCCATGGTGGGGACCCCGTCATCACATCGGTGCAGCCAGCGGGAGCCGTCCTGCCCAGGCAGTCCCAAATCCTGACAGTCGTGGCCGCTGGCGCCCAGCCTAGCTTAGCAAGTCTCTGAGGGCCTGTGTGCTCCTTGCAGAGGGAGTGGCAGCAGCCGGGGCCCTCCGGGTGTTTGGCCTACAACTTCCACCATGCTGCACTACCGGTTATGCTAACTAGGGCTGATGGGAGTTGTAGGCTGGCCCATCTGGAGGGCCAAGAGGAGCTGCAGGGAGGGAGGGGAGCAGGGCAAGCAAAGCTGCCTTAGTGATAAGACTTCTGGCAAAGTTCGAGGAGCACCGTACCTCTCGAAGAAGCCTATGCGCCTGTAGGTGACCGGGATCCTGTCCTCCACGGCTATGTTCAGCTCGTCCTCGACGGCGCGCAGCTTCTCCTCAAACTTGTCGATGTTTGCTACCTTCATTGCGTACCTCTGGAGGAAAAGGAAAGTGAGCGAGGCCACGGCACGAAGGCCACGGCCAGGGCTCCGGCCTGTAGGGAACCGCGAAAGCTGATCAAATGCCGCTCACGCTTTGCAGGGGGTCGGTGGGGGGACTCCACGGGGCACCAAATGTGGCTGCTGGCCTGTGGATTAACAGGGAACCCCTCTCCCTGCTGCTGAGGGAGCCAAGCTTCCAGGCTGCCGTGAAAAGGAGCACTTCTCTACAGGCCAATGGAAAAAGCCGTGGAGGAGGGGGAGGGGGGCATTACGAAAGACGGATCATTCCCTGAGAACCATTATACTGTAGACCAGATTAAGCTGATGTGGAACATGCAAGCTTTCGGGTGTCACAGAACTGTTCATCAGGCAGAATGCTGGCAGAGATCTATGAAGCTCAGACCTTTGCTGAGTTTCTGCCATCCAGGGTGAAGCTCAAAGCACTGCATTACCCTTCGCTGACCACAGCTGGTCGTCGGACTGCCATTTTTTAACCCCTTCTCTGACGCCCCAAAAGAGACACTCACGCTGTGTCTAAACTGGACGCTTCCGGGATGCAAGTGGACTTCCACGACGTCGGTCTCCGGCATCACCTCCACTCGCTGCACCTCCCCCCTGGCCAGCATCTCGTGCACAAACTCGCTCCAGGAGATGTTGGCCGTGCGAGGGTTCACGAGGGACAGGAGGATGAAGAAGATAAAGAGGACGATGGAGAGCCTGAAAAGCTCCTCACGCATCCGGTATTCTCTCTTCCGGCGTCTCTTTTCGTCTGGCAAGGGGAAACATCAGAGCAGATCAAGATTAGGGCTGCAAGCTGGAGAACAGTTTGATTATGCCCCAAGACACAGACCCCCTCCCAACAGTCTGTTTTCTGTTCCACATTTCGGCGTTCCTAGGAAAACGAGGCTCAGCTAGAAAAGGCAGCATCTGGTTTGCAGCGTGGATCATGTTACGGCCCCTTTCCAGAGGCAGACTGGGGAGAGGCCGGGAGCAAGGTCACCCAGCGGAGCGGCCTGCAAAGGGCCCAGGAGTCCCAGTGGTCACACGCCCAGAGCAAAGGGACGAGCACGCTCTCCTCGCCAGCAAACCCTCGCTCCGGCCCGGTCCAGCTTCCCACATGCAGTTGTGCCAGGCCAGGCAGCGTGCGCGGAGCCACCCACGGCCCCTCAGAACCATCCGATCCGTACACAAGGGAAGGCGACGTGGAGAAGGGGGAGGCGGTGCTGAAGCGCTCAGCCACACGCAGGGATGCGCCTCGGCACTGGCTGCAGGCCCAGCTCTTTTTCCTTGCTGTTTTCCGATGCCTCGCCCCAACCTGCCTCTCGCGTGCTCTGCCCTCCACCCCATGCCACACTCCACCAGGCGTGCGGCCATGGCGGCCCCTCTGGTGGAGGGGAAGCCCATCCAGGCCTGCCGAGAACCACCGGGCCCTCCCAGAATGGGCGATCTCCTGGCTGGCGGAGACTCGCAGGCAGCAGCTGTGGGACCCCCTCCAGCCTCGGGAAGCCGTCACAAAGACATGCTTTGCCATTAACCCCGGCACCAGACGTGGCGATCATCACAAGCTCGTGAGGGCTGTGGGCAGGCCTTGGGACTCTCTCTGCAGGACTGCTGCTGGGATGACCTTCCCCGAAGACAGGCGGGGACATGGCTGCCCAGGTCAACTCGTCCTTGCGCCGCTGGAGGGAAAGGGCCGCCACAGCGCTCAGCGGGTCACGGCTGAGGCGAGCCGAGAGGGGCACACTTTCGGGCCAGGGGAGGCGTGAGAAAGCGCAGCCTCCTGAAGCCCCGGCAGATGGGCTTTCCCTTCCTCTACAGCTGCTTTCTCGGCGGCCGCAGGCCTTTGGGAAGGAAGGGGAGCACGGCAGAACTGCCGCCCTGCTCGGGAGCGACGGCAGCTCTGGGGGGCCGAGCGGTGGCAGTCCGCCGGGCTCAGCTTGAGCCCTCCCTCTCATGCTGCTGTCCCAGGGCACCCTCCGCCAACCGACACTGCCTGCTCCTTTCAATTGCTGGTTCACGCCCCTCCCTTGCATGACCTCCGGCTCAGCTCCCGACCCGCACAATGCAAACAGCAACAGCTGCTTTGCAGGTTTGTTCTCAGGACAAACAAAACAAGGACTGGAGAGGCCTTTGCACTAGTTACTAGACTCTGCACATGACCAGGAACCGCTGCGAGAGACCAGGACACTGCACATGGAGCTGCGAGCCAGGAGAACCGGCGGCGAGCGTCCTGCAGGAGTGCTTGGGGCCGGCGTCAGATGGCCGCTCGCTCAGCCCATGTCTGTACCCCAGGAGACTCATCCCGACTGTCCTTTGTACACACAGCAGACAGACCGGCCTTGCCAGTGCAGGAGCGCTGTGAACAGGGCTTCCTCTTGCCACCGGAGAAGCACGGTGCCCATGAGCAAGCGGGGCGCGTGCCCCCGGGGGTGCTTCTGGCCCCTTTGCCCCTGACCAGAGGAGCAGCGGGACAGGCTCTAAGGTTGCTGCTCAAGGGCCCTCATGAGTGGAGGAACAAGCCTCTCTCGTTTAAAATGCGTGGCCAAATTGCCAGCAAGGGAAGAAAGGAGAGGGGAGGGTGCTGAGCCGGCACGGCTGGCGAGCCGCATCCATGAGAACTTGCCGAAAGCGGCAAGGGAGGGGCGTGCAATGCGGGGGCACTGCCAGGTCAGCTCAGCCTCAAAATGCAGGTTGTGTGAAAAAGCAAGCGCCTCTGAAGCGGAGCATCTGAAGGAGGCCCTTGTGATCTATTTATAGGCCGGCAGAGCAGATCTTAAAGGGGCCGCGTCTTCTGCAAGGCTCTCGGAGAGGTGGGGTCGTGGGAGCGCACCCCACTGCCCGGCGGATGGCTTGCCTTGCAGGAATAACGGCAGATGCGTCACACAAAACAGAAACAAAGGCCCAGTGCTGAGGCGCACGCTCGCTCTCCAAGAGGATCGCGGCCTGGAAGGACTGACAAGAATCCGCTCGGCCTGGCAGGAGCCGTGACTGCGGACGCTTCCTCACGTGCGGGCTCACGCGGAGCTGGAGGCGGGCACGCTGGGAGCAGAGCGTCCTGCCCAGCCCACTGCCTGCCGCACTGGCTTCCTGCTTGCAGAGAACGCCTAATGCCAGGGAGACCTTCAAAAGGCGAGCAGTGACCCACACTCCAAAGGGGCGAGGCCTCTTTTGGCGCCTCCCTTTGCCGGCTGAGCAGGAAGCGTTTCCTTGCCCCAGTCCTGCAGCTGTTTGAAGCGTTTTGGAACGGTTCGAGCTGGTCGAGGGATGCGTGCGCTGCACAGAATGCAGACGTGGCCCAGAAATGAAGCAAGGCTGCCCCTCCCGGCTCACTTGTTTCGATATCATGTACTATTTCTTTCAAGGCAATGACCGCTGCCACCCCACCAAGCTCCCCGCGCCAGTGCTGGAACTCCGGGTTCAGCTGACCCTGCCCACAGCCGCACGGCAAATGCTCTTCCTCACACCTTCGTTCAATCTGAATGGCGGCCCAGCGGCTAAGGGCAACTTCGGCAACGAGAGAAAACCATCACTGCAAAAGACGCTACATCCGTACAAAGAACAACAACCTGCCAAAGAGCGTTCTCTGTGCAAACATTTTTACGCTTCACCTAAATCAATGAAGCATCGGAGAGCTCCTGCACAGGAACCGGACACCCATTCTATGGTAACCATTTCAGTATTTGAAATACGTGGAACTACGCATCCCACAGATGGCTTCACAGCAAAGCACGTACCCACACGCGCGCACACGCGCACACGGCGAGCGCAGTCTCGTTTCAGGGCAAAGACATCGGGCTCAAGTGGCCCAGGCAAAGGCAATAGAAACATGCCTATGCCTATTAACGGCGAGGTGAAAACATCCGGACCAGACCAGACGGGGGAGTTCCACAGCCCACTGGAGGGAGAAGGGAAATCTCCATCATGTATGACGAGAAACACCGCGTGGAAAAGGCCTTGCAACTCTGCCGCACCGCCTTGAGCAGCTAGCACTGCAAACACACCGGGCCGCTGGCAAGAGGACAGATTCTCTACGTGTTGCGCATTTCTAGCAGAGAGAAATGCAGTGGCTGCTTACCTTCATCTTCCTCGGGGGTCTTCCCTTTGGAACTCTCACCGTCACTGCCTTTGTGATGAGAACCAGAGGTAGAAAAATAGTACGTGCCACCTGTGAATAAGCAAACAAACAAACATGCACCTCTCTCGTGAGCACATGGGGATGCAGGAAGACTGCTGAGGCCGGACCAAAGCCAGAAGCCACCTAGTCCAGCACCCTCCACCCCGAGCTCCCCATTGGTATCACATGTGCTGCACGCAGCCAAGCACGTATTCAGCACAAGTTCAGAGCGTTTCCATTTGGAAGCAAGCCAGGTTTCTAGCCCTTGTGGCTGCCGAAGCTGCAATGCATCTTGCAGGCGATATCTGTGAACTCTCAAACCCAAGAGGGGGGACGTGACTGGCACTCTCCTCCCCCCAAGGCCACCTGGCAATCCGGCTGCAGCAGAGCCAGGGCACTCCACTGGCCTCCTTCCCTCAGACCGCTGCGTCCACTCCAGCGGGACGTCCTCTGACCCCGTGCAGCTTTAAGAACTGGCACCTCCCGTTGCTCCCAACACACCTTCAATCCCCCCTCAGTTCCCTTCTCCTCCTGTCTCCTGTCTTTTGGATTGCAGGCCCGCAGGAGACCACCGCTGTCTTTATTGCTCTAATAGTAGCTGCCCTACCCTTTTAGCTGATAGGGTCAAAATGTGAACATTAGCATTTAATCGCGGCTCCGGCAGACTGAGTGCAGGAGATCTTGCTCTCTGTGGCAGCCACTAGCTGGACAAAGGTGACAAGAAAGCAGCCACAGTGTCACAGCAAGTAACTACCGAATGGAGGTTTATGCCTTGAAGACCCATCTCCCTCCACATGTTACCTGGGGAGTTTTAGGAGAGGCTAAGGGAGAAAGACAATGGGCAGCTTCCCCCCTGGGCCCACCCTTCCCTTGGCAAGGCACAGCTGGTTCGAGTGGGTGGGTTCCAAGACAGCAATCCTCTGGCTTCCCTAAGGGGTTGCCACCAAAAGTGATCTCCCCAGTTCCTTACTCACCCAGAAGTTTCCAGAGCTGGGAGGTGACAGACTGCCTCTTTGCCGCAGACCAGGCAAACTCCCTGCCGCCATGGAAAAGCACTTGCGAGAGCAGGCCCCTGGGGAGAAGCACTTGCGAGAGCAGGCCCCTGGGGAGAAGCACTTGCGAGAGCAGGCCCTGAGGAGACACAGCAGCAGTGCTCAGCCCAAGCGATGGTCCCAGGGAACTGTGCACAGGGAGCCCTCGGACCAGACCTACTGCTTCTAAGTGAGAGAAACTCCAGTTCTCCATCATATATTTCAGGTGTAAAGCAGTAAAGGAGGTGTGAATTCCCAACAGCAAGGATGCCCCCTTTCTCAAGGCTTTTTAATCAAAAACAGTTCTGTGCTTAAGCTATTCAACAGCGCAGAAGTTCGCTTTCCTCTAAGCCAGCGACAGCCAACCTTAACCCAGGATTCTGGGATCCTATTCTCAGTACAGTTGAGCTGAAAATGCTCCCTGGAGGTTATCCACCCATAGAAGACACCCACCTCATCATGCCTTCCTTCCTTACTCCAGCAAGGGAATCCTCCCAACAAACATCTTTGAGGAGCGTGGGAAGGAGGAGAGGGAAAAATTCAAGTACAGTCTATTCGTGTGTGTGCCTAAACAATTAGAGAGGATCAACACACCCTGCACTGGAAGGTATTATTCTAGAAATGCTTAATTATTATTATTACACTGCATTTTTTCCTCTTGCAAGGAACCCAACTTTTTACTTTAAAAATAGGGTCAGCACGTGGAGTTTGGGGTGTGGCAGTATATGCAGTCAAGAAGCAGGTTCTGTCCGGTCTGGGGGTTGAGACCTTTTCCCGATATCACAACAGCCTTTTCTTAAGCAGAGTGACTAGAACTGCACAGAGTAATTCTATGTATACAAACAGAGCTTGTACCATAGATTTTTACAAGCACAGCACGATATTACCAGTTTTACTTCAATGCCTTTGGTAACTATTTCATATCCATCATACACCGTGCTGACAATTTGATCAAGCTGGCCATCGCGGGACGCTTTTCTTCATCGGCTTCTTCATGACGGCTGCCTCAGATTCCAGCAGCTTAGGAAAGTTTCTGGCCCAACCCGCGTCCCTTCACACCTGTCTGGACCGAGCTGCATCTGCCGGCGGGATGCCCATTCCCCCAGCTAACAGAGATCCCTTTGGAGCACCTCACAAGTTTGAACCATAATTAGGCATCCCCAGCAAATCTGCCCCGGGCGTCACTCCAGATCATTTATGAGCCAACTGGAAAGAGTGGTCCCAGCAAAAGTGCGGGCGACCCCGCTTACGCCGGGCCAGGCGGGGAGGCCTGGAGCAAGGCCTGCCCACCCCGTCCGTCGCCGGGATCCGCACCGCCCTGGCCTGCCCTGGCCTGCCCTGCCCGCGCTTGCGCTTTCCCCGGAAGGGCAGACGAGAGCGCGCGCTGCAGAAGCGCGCGCAGCACGACGGCCGAGCCGGCCGGAGCAGGCCGAGGCCCGCGCCCATGCGCTCCGCGCCGCGGACTCGGCGGCCCCGAGCCCGGCGCGCCCCGCCGCCCCCGGGCAGGCCCAGCCCGATCTCG